CTTACCGACATTCATCTTGGCAACAGTCACGAAGACTTCCTCCCCAGTCACAGCCAGGGCCTCATTTCACCCAACAAGAGAGGGATCCGGATTGAAATCCCCTGCCCCGGGCGGAAACAAGGCCCCAACCACGCCCCTCATCACTACAGGAGGAAAAGACTCCACTAAACTGGATGCCCCAACACGCAGCTTGTCGAGGACGACATGATACGGCATACTCCAGGGGTCCGCATCCAACGTTTCGAGCAGACCCTGCCACAGAGTCAGTTTAGATTTTCTAATCGCACCTCTGAGTAGTTTTTTTGTCTCACGTAGATCGTCCCAGAGACTCCGAACCGTTTCAGAGTTCTGATATTTACGACGCCTTCTTATAATGCGCCTTCGGATACGCACACAACGAGCGCGGAGATCCGCGATCTCATCATTCCACCAGACTGATGGTCTACCGGTAGTTTTCAGTCGCGGCATAACGGTCTGAGATCTTTTTCAACGCAATGTCCATCCTATCGGCCAATTGGTCAGCCAACACATCCCCCTGGGGAGGAAGAGAAGACCATGCCTTCACGTTGGCCGCCGCGCACAGTAGGTCCATATTGATCTTACGGACACACCACCGAGGAAAATGTTTCTCGGCCGCTACCCTTCTAAGGGGGCCCACTATCTGTTCTTGCACCTCTATGAACACATATCGGTGGTCCACTCGGTGTCCACCGCGACACGCCAGTCACGAATGTGTCTGACGGCCGAAGCCGAGGCCTACGAGAGGTCCACACACGATACGCCCCGCGGATGCACGCACGTAGGCACGAACCCTTCGTTGAAAAGGATTAAATCCAGCCCAGCCGCCCAACGGGCCAGAGTTCTCCCTCTGTGATTGGATTCTCCCCGATCCCAAGCAGGAGACCGAGCGTTAAAGTCCCCGAGCACGAATAGAGATCTGCGATCACACGACTGTACACGCGCACCGAGATCACACAGACCTCTCTCGAATTTGGCATCCGGCAAATTGGGGGAGAAGTAGCAACTAAAAACTTCTAATTTTCCCCACTCCACTGCGACAAAACCTTTTCCTTTAAAAAGAGGAGAACATGGCACACTCGAATGCTGCCAAACCAGTGCAGCCGTCGGCGGAACATTCGAAAAGAAGAGCCAACATTCGCCACGGACCGAATGCGGCTCCGAAACCGCCACGAGACCGAGTCTCTCCTCCTCGCACACCCGCGCGATTAAATCCTGCGCAGGTCTCGATCTATTTACATTTATTTGCCCAATGCTAGCCATTGGACACGTCCATTGATATCCCCTCCTCCACAGGGGGAACACTTTCCGCCGCACGAACACTCGGCTCCCAATGTTTGTTACGCCCTACGTCCTTGTCGCCCGATCCATCAGCCACGGTCGCACTGGACCGTTGTAGGGAATACACCCTTCCCCTCCAGCCTTATGTCCAGCCGGGAGGTTTCTGGCCGCGCAGACGGGACAGTGAGACGAGGCCCGGCAATTAACGGCCGTGTGCCCCTCCTCACCGCAGTTGAAGCACCCGCTGCTCTTGTCTAAAGTGCTCCTGCAGTTGGCTCTCGTGTGTCCGACTGCAAAACAACGGTAGCACTGCAACTTTCGTTTGGCCAGCGGTATCAATCGCACTCGCGACCAACCCACACGAAGTCTTCCGTCCTTCTGCAGCAAATCCGCGCAAGTCTCAGGGCACTGCAACCACGCACAGTTTAGGCTGCCCCTACTGGGCCTCAGTGGGCCAACACGGACGTCGTTCGGTAGTGTCTTTCCTCGCGCCGCAACAGCCGCCCTTATCTCCTCGGCCGTCACCGACTCGTCCAGATCGAGGAGACGAAACTCGGTCCTCCTGACCACCCTCACTCCCTCTCGATCCTTAAAAAGGGAGTTGAGTCTCTCTGCCAAGGAATCCCCCTTTGTCCTTTCCTGGGATCTCCACCAGAAGACTACCAGTCTGTGCCCGCCTGATCCTTGTATCGGTGATGTCCAGTTCTTCCAGCGGAACACCAATCCTCGCTTCACCCATTACGTCCGCATATGACGGGCCTCCCTCGTCACAGCGGATCATAACGACAGCAGAGTTCCGCTTTCGGGTTCCCGCGCGAGCTGTCTTTTTGGGAGGAACCGTGGTTCTAACCCCAGATATGGAACGAGCCCGAGGATCTCTCCCGGAAACTGCCACCTTATCGCGAGTTTTCCGCGTAGTCATTGCATAAGATAGGTCCTTTCTCACCGTCCTAACACTACTGGCACTGTCCGACGGCACATCCGATTCACGCGCGGGCAAGCCACCGCCACGGTTGGCAGTCACCCCTTTTTTCTTCTTTCTCCTTCTTCTTTTTCCCAAAATGGTCTCCCAAGGCTCACTCTTCTCGGGACCTGAGGAAGGAAGACAGTACGGATGATCCCTTTTCCACGGATCAATATCCCCCCGTACTTGGACCTCGGCGGGGAACACGGTCCGATCCCTCTCGTCAACCAACTTCCTCCGCACAGATAAGTCTTCTGTCAGCACCTTGGTGACTCCCCTCAACGCAGGGCGATGTGCGGGAGGAATATCCTCAGCTCACAAGGAGCACCCGCGCCCAGAGGAGAGGCGCGCGAAGATCGACCAGTTTCCCCATGCTCTTTTCGTCTTGACGCTTGATAGCCAAGAATAGCTCCTTCCATATCTCCTTCCTCAAGATTTTTCCTTCCTCACGGAGACTATCTCTGTCTCTCTGGATAATCTCCATTTGTATCTTGAGCGCTTCCATTTCTTGCTCAAGCTGGAAGCATCGTCCTTTCATTGTCTTCGCTGGCTCCTGATTCCTGGCCGAGTCCGCCGCCCTCGCCGCTAACTGTTGAACAGCCTGTTTGGCCACCTCGACTCCAACGATGATCCGCCGACGAAAATCGCCCCTCATCGTCGACGTTTTCCGCTGCGCGCTGCTTGCCTCGTCCAGAACTAGCAGAGTCTCAGCCATTATTTTTCTGGCCATTATTATTCATCTCAAAGAACTTGTACGTCACGTTCTCAACGGCAGTCTTCTGATTCGAGGTTAGGAAGTCAACTAAAGGACACTCCTGTAACTTTCTTTTTTTGCCAGTCTGTCTGTTCTTTTTGGTGATCTGGAGTAAGTCAGACCGATCCAGCATATCATCGTCGTAGTCGTCCATCCTCATGGCATTTTAGAGAGGGATCTAGCCCTAGGGACGTTACTCCCCTTCGGCTTGCCTCTCTTTTTTCCTTGTATCACCATGTCCGTACCCGCCGATGAGATCGAGTCTGTTGAGACACTGAATCTCTCCCCTGAGCTATCGATCACCATCGGTGCATCCGACGTCTCGACAACCGTAACTGGTGAATTCACGATGTCACCATCCACAACGCGCAGTCTATGTTCTCTGGGGACACTCACATTACATACGACTCTGGGTCCGGGCCTCTTAACTGCACTAACACTGTCCTAGCTGTCCACGATTATATCGTCCTGACACTTTGGAGACTCACGAGTAACAGGCGTCGGCAGAGTACCAGTGAGCTTATGCCGCTCAAGGAGTGTACTCCTTCCACGTGTGGGACCGGGTGTCTCGCACACACTCCAATCCACGATGCCCTCAGCGGTAGCCGTATCGGCCGCGGAGCCCGCTGGCAACTCCGCGACTTTCCCCTCGCATGATTCCCCCGTAGGGGTCGATCGCCCGGGAGCGAGGACACTACCCCCGGGAAACCGTGACGAGCATCCGAGTTCTCGTCGTGTCATTTCCTTTTTCGATTCGTCCATGTTGCATATATTGCCGGCGATGGAGAAGACGCCGGGTGACTCGCCGGCCAATCATCCGACTCGCCTCTAGCGTTATTCGCGACTGCCTAAGCGGACGATCGTCCGGCGGCAAGTACGACCGCCGAACGGCCGCAAGGCGAACGTGTACCAAGGTCGGTGGTTGAACCTACCTCCGCCTTTTCGTCTATTCGAAACAGCACACTCGATTGACTCGCTTGATAGAACATGCTCGCGATGAAGTGGGATGGTACTTACCACTCCTCGACGAACTTTCTTCGGCACACCTCCAGGATAGGGAGCAGAGAGCAAAACCCGAAGGATAACCCACATCCTGGAGTATACTCATCGAAGCCTGCACTACTGTAGTTTGAGTCTTTCAAGGTCTCCGGTCATCCTCCATCCCAGCGCCATCGCGAGAGAGAACCAACCGAGGCCCAAGGAACCACACTGTCCCCTCGCCGTTAAATGTCACTTAGTCGTTTCCCACTGTCCGTTCATATGTACACGCACTATTAACACCTTAAGCACTATATATATACAAGTTTAAGAATCCGTTCTTACATTCTCACCACACAGTTATTAGCGCCCGTGCGCTCCCCACTTGGCCGCTGTTGGATGATTCACCCATCACCCATTCATCTCGTGGCCGCGCACCTCTACCACGAGACAGGGGGACCTTTTATAGAGGGCCCAACTCGCCGTCCGAGAAGTTGGGTGCAATCTCGGACGCTCGGTCTCTTCCATAGTGCAAAGAAAGAGATTACAAGAGCTCAGGCACCGCGGGTTCGCTAAACCCGTAGCGGAATCATATCGAGATGCGACCGAGGAGATCGGACCGCATCCGAGATGATCTCACCCCTGCGGGAGACCTAACCCACTACTAACCCGGGCTAACACTTCCCTAACTCGCCCTAACCCGATCTAACCCTCTCCTAATACGATCTAACTTGACCTAACCCTCTCCTAACCCGACGTAACTTGACCTAATCCGACCTAACCCTCTCCTAACCCTCTCCTAACCCTCTCCTAACCCGACATAATCCTCTCATAAACCGACCTAATTCTCTCCTAACACTACCTAACTCGACATAACTCTGTCCTAACACGATCTAACACTCTCCTAACCATCTCCTAACCCGACCTAACCCAGGTCAAGATCAGGTCAAAATCAGGTCATGGTCACGTCAAGGTCAGGTCCAGGTCACGTACAGGTCCAGGTCCATGTCAGGTCCATGTCAGGTCCAGGTCCAGGTCAGGTCTACGTGCAGGTCAAGTCCAGGTCCAGGTCCAGTTCCAGGTCCAGGTCCAGGTCCAGGACCTGATGAGGTCAAATCCAGATCTAAGCTCAGATCAGGTATAGGTCCAATTCCAGGTCCAGGTCCAGATCAGATCCAGCTCCAGGTCCAGGTCCCGGTCTAGGTCCAGGTCAGGTCTAGGTCCAGGTCCATGTCAGGTCCAGGTCCAGGTCAGGTCTAGGTGGAGGTCAAAGTCAGGTCCAGTTCCAGGTTAGGTCAACGTCTAGGTCCAGGTCTAGGTTCATTTCCAGGTCCAGGACCAGGTCCAGGTCCAGACCCAGGTCCAGGTACAGGTCTAGGTTCAGGCCCAGGTCCAGGTCCAGTTCCAGGTCCAAGTTCAGGTCACGTCCAGGTCCAGGTCCATTACAAAATCAGACATACGTACAGTTCAGGTCAAGGTCCAGGTCCAGGTCCAGGTCTAATCCATATCTACGTTCAGTTCAGGTCCAGGTCCAGGATCAGGTCTTGGTCCAGGTACAGGTCGAGGTTCAGATCATGTCCAAGTACTAGTCCAGGTATAGGTCAGGTCCAGGTCCATGTCTAGGTCCAGGTCAAATCCAGGTCCACGTGCAAGTCCAGGTACAGGTCAGGGCCCAGGACAGGACAAAGTCACGTGATCAAGGTCCGAGTGGTTAAGGGAACGTGTGGTCAAGGTCACGTGATCATAGTAACGTGTTGTCAAGGTCAGGTGTAGTCATGATCACGTGATCAAGGTTACGTGTTGTCAAGGTCACGTGGTCAAGGTCACGTGGTCATTGTCACGTGTGGTCAAGATCACGCGGTGAAGATCACGTGTGGTCAAGGTTACGCGTGGTCAAAGTCGCGTGGTTAAAGTCAGGTGATTAAGATCACGTGGTCATGGTCACTTGTGGTCAAGATCACGTGGTCAAGGGAACGTGTGGTCAAGGTCACGTGTGGTCAAAATCACGTAGTCAAGGTCACGTGTGATAAGGTCACATGATGAAAGTCATAGGGTTTAATGCGACCCAATAGGTACCAATTAGAAAAAAAAGTCCCAATTTGTTTTTAAAAGAAATTGAACCGATTTGGCCAAAATTAGCATAATAGGGCAAACCGACTCCATAGGGCCTATTAAGATCAAATAAGACCAAATAAATCCCGACCCATTAAGGTGCAATTCGAAAAAAAGCCTCAATTTTTTTTAATAGAAATCGATTTGATTGCCCCAAAATCAAATTAATTGCCACAAACCGACCCTATAGGTCCAATTCCGAACCAATAAGATTCGTTCCGACCCAATAAGGCCAAATTCAACAAAAAAAATCCCAACTTTTTCCAAAAAAATCGTCCCTAGTTTACCAAAATCATAATAATCGGACCCAAACCGAACTCGTAGGACTTATTTCTACCAAACAAGACTAATTCCGATATAATAAGACCCAATTCGACCCAAAAAGTACCAATGTTTTTTTAGAAGGAATCGACCCGATAGAAACAAAATCAGAATAGTCGGCCCCAAATGACTCTATATGGCCTATTCCGATCGAATAGGTCCTATCCTGGCCCAAGACGCAATTCGAAAAAAAGCCCCAAATTTTTTAAATATAAATTGCTCCGATTGCCCAAAAATCAAATTATAATAATAGGGCACAAACCGACCCCAGAAGGCCAATTCCGAACCAACAAGTCCTGTCCCGATCAAATAAGTCAAAATTTTTTACAAAAAAATTGACTCGATTGGGCCAAAATCATAATAATCGGGCCCAAACCGACCACGTAGATCCCATTCCGTTCTAATAAGTCCTATCCCGATCCACCAATTTTTTTAAAAGAAATCGATCCGAATGCCCCAAAATCAGAATAATCGGGCCCAATCCGATCCTAGGGAATATTCGGACCCAATAAGTCCTATCCAATAAGGCCCAATTCGACCAAAAATGTCCCAATTTTTTTCGAAAGAAATCGAACCAATGGCTCCAAAATCAAAATAATCAGACCAAACCGACTCCGCAGGACCTGTTCCGACCTAATAAGTCCTATCCAGATCCAGTAAAGTCTAATTCGACAAAAAAAAGTCCCAATTTTTTTCCAAAGAACCGATGGCACTAAAATTAGACGAATCGGGTCCTCTCCCATCCCATAGGGCATGCTCCGACCAAATAAGTCTCATCCTGAACCAATAAGGCTCAATTCAATAAAAAAAATTCCT